GTTTACATACACACATATTGTCAGAGAAAACAGCAAAGTTAACGTTATTGTTTTAAAATCGTACTTGAAATACGTCTTCTAAATAAATGCTAGTTCATTTTCATTCATTTGATTAGTTTTATTTTTGTTTAACTATAGACTTCTCATTTTCGAAATGTATGAGGAAGATTAACATTTAGAAAAATGCTACAATTTTTGTTGACAGTGCTATATTGTCTGGAATAAAAATAAATGTTGCATAATAAACTGGTTTAAATGTTTGATATAAAATTTAATGAAACATTAATTTAATAGATTAAAATAAATGATATTGAATTTAGTATGTAAAAATGTACTTCTGTTTTGTTTTTTTTACAAAATAACTAGTTGTAATGTTCCACAAAAGTTTAACGCAGTTAATTTACAGTGTTTAATCCACCGTTGTTTTTGATATACCTTCATGATCTTCTAAGCCAACTTAAAAAACAAATAAATTTCTTTGATGATAAAGGATAAATGCAAAGGAGGTTTCATTATTTTATCAAAATTTTGACAAAATAAAGAAATACTTTTAAAAAATAAAAGAATCAATTAAGTTGGCAATAATAGAGAAGCTGGGTACTTATAAATATGTTTAAATACTTTGATTGTATCAAAGTATCTAAAGTAAAAGTAAAAAAAGTTGGTAATGAGGGTATATGTAAAGAAAAAAGCAAAGGTGGTGTGATTAATAAACTCATTACAATTACACTTGAAAATAATTTATAATAACACATTGCAAACCTAAAAAAGGTGCAAAATTTTATAAAGCTAAATAGAACTAAGTACTTTTGTGCTTTTTATATGAGATTAGCAAATATTTATTTTAGAATTGAAAATTCAACATTAACTCAAAGGTTTATAAAGGTTCTTGCTCCTATGAACTTCGTCTTTACAGTGGAAACACCAACATGCTTTTTGATTGACATGTTATATGCATAAAATTTAAAGAACTTAAAAAAAAAGAATTATGCACTAGAACTGAGCCTTAACATAAAAAAGGTTTATTCTAAGAAGTTTAAAAAAGTTGATAGTATTCAAAAGCTCTTGATAACACAGACTTTTTAAAAGATTTGATCAATTATTTTTTATTTGATAATAAAAAGTATTTTTTTACTGCAATCATTTAAATGTTTGAGACTTAGTTGTTTAGGACTTTAAAATCCAACTATAAAAATGTAACATATTTCTTTTCAATTCGTCCGTTGTTGAATAATTGATTTTTGCACCATTGAATACATTCCAATAGTTATCAACAGTTATTAACCAGATTATTAAAAAAAAATGATGTTATTTACAACTTTTGTTGATTTTATAAATAAACTGTTTTCTTTTAGCATATCGAGTTGGACAAATTTAAAACTTAGTGCTGTTATCAAATTAGTGCCAGTATCAAATTATTATTTGAATGCTTAGTGGCAAGGTATTGTCCTTTGCAAATTGATGATAGTTAGACCTTTCCCAATTTTAAAATTTTAAATTTTGCTTCCTTAAATTTCTAGTTTTTGAACAAGACACATATCTCTTTATAACAAAATTCTTTGCATATGACTGATACTTTTGTAGCTAGTGTTTGTATTTTGTCAGTACTCTTTTTATCTTTTATTGTGTAAGGTGACAAAGCACGAATTGCACATTCCGAATCGAATATGAGCTCATAATACTAAATTACATGTTATAAATGTTGCTTTAACATTTTTGCATTCTGTTACTTATTCTTTTTACTAGCATGAAAATTACTAACATGATTTTCATCACTTAAAACAGATACATCAGATATAAATATCTTAATGTATCTGTTTTAAGTGATGAAAATACATCACTTAAAACAGATACATCAAGATATTTATATCTGATTTTTATTTTATTCAAATCTTAGTTTATATTACTTATTGTGTATAAAAGTGATGAAATTTTACATATGCATTACATATGTCCTTACATATACATAACTTTTCATTTGTCTAGTTTGAGCTTCATTAACCAATCTTTTGTTTGCTTAGTGACTTCATTTAAATCAGTTTGAATGTTATTAGTATCATCAGGAGTACTGTTGAATTTTAGCCTTTTATTTTGGCATCATTTGTTTATAGTTTACAAATGCGTTTTAAATTATCAGACAAGTCACTAATGAAAATTACGAAGTGTGTTGATCTTAAAGCAGAGCTTTGAGGATACATGTCTTCCAAGTACTACTCTTTATTTTTTATTGTTAAGAAAGTTTATAAGTCAAGAAGGTTTCCCACAACTCCATATGCTTATGGCTTGATAATTAATAATGTGTGAGTGATTGTGCCAAATATTTGATTATTAACTGGTGTATTTTTTTTAATGTTTTCTTTAACGGTTGGTCGCGTGTGTTTAAGGTGTGATAAAAAAAAGGTGAGGCTAATCAACTGCACTACTATGTAAGTACATTTTTTGTTTAAAAGTAAAACTAAATGTAAGTGTTTGTCATAATATAAAGATTAGTATGAAATTTACAATATAACATACTACTTGTAAACTGGTAAAATAGATAATGTGATTTAATACATTATCTATTTAAAACAGATATTTCGAAGAGAATAGAAAAAGAAATAGAAAAAACAATAAAAGAAACAATAGAAAAACAATAGAAAAAACAATAGAAAAAACAATAGAAAAAACAACAGAGGGCTAAGAATTGTAAAAGATAGAGGTGGTTATCTTGACGCTGTAGTAACAAATTAGTATTCAAAACTAGATGTGTTCTGTCTTGTATATTTGGGAAAAATGTACATAACTTAGGTTCGCTGAAGTTTTATATAGCCCAAAACCTGCATTTACGCAACACGACAGGGACGAGTCTTAGCAACAGGCCTCGTATCTTGCTTTCTACACGGTATTAGTCAATTTGACAATAAAATTCGGTCTCACTAAAATAGCTGACTATCCTAAATCTTATAACTAGTTTAGTGAAACATAACCTTTTTGGAAATCTCCTGAGGAATGCGCGAGAGAAACATAAATATATACACATTTAAATAATACACACTTATAATGTACACTAAAGCTAAAAATGACAAATATTAATACAAAGTAACTTACCATTCCTAACTAGATTGAAATTCGTCTCTAATAGTTTTAGTAAAGTATGAGTCGTTAAGTTCAAAGTTAAGATAATAGTTCGTGTGCTGTGTACAAAAACGCTGTATGGAATAAGATAAATCAGGTAGTGTTTGAATTATTGATCTCAACTGAATAGAGTAGACAATTACTTTAAAATAATAGTATAAAATTGTTATCGTTTAATAATTCAGGATGAAATGCAGAATTAGAATATAGTATGACTGCTAAAGTAGGTGGAGAACAATATGAAAATTGTATAGTAGACAAAATTAGGTAATACATGCTATATACATTAAAATATGCATTGAAGATTTTATAACGTCTAAAAAGCTAAAAAGCTAAAAAGAATAATGTTGTCAAAAAAAACCCTAAGATAGTATAGAGCAAACATTTGTTTTTTAAAGTTTAATATCTAGCAATACAATTAATATCATCAAATATTTGATAAGGTTTAATTTTTAAATCTACTTCTTCTATTGCAAACGTTGTGAAAAATATTCTATACAAAATATGTTCAATGCAAAAAATAATCGATGAGTAAAGTATTCGATACATTATAATTTCCTCAAAACGTTCAAGCTAATCCTGTAAATGCTAGCTTTAATGTCTTGAGTATTTTCTCATGTTTCCAATATGTTAATAATAGTCAGCAAATGTTTGTTTAATTAAAAAACCGTATGGATGGAAACATATTTCACTCATATGATGGACTAAATATATGTCAGCAGTTTACTCAAAATGTGTTTTCAAATATCTGATTTTGAAAACAATTTTTTTTTTTGATTTAAATGACTTAGTCAGTCATCTAAATCAAAAAAAAAAATTTTACAGTAAAAATATCTGCAGGCATTGGTCATTGCAACTTTTTTTCATCCTCTGACCGGGTTTCTGAAAAATGCTTTATCAATCATACTTAACCAACTATATCAACTTTAATAATTTCTTAGGTTATGTGGGACTTTGACAAGAAATATTAAACATAATAAGATTAGGATAACGTTATAAGTGTTATTCACATACATATAATCGTTATATAACATAACGTTATAAGTGTTATTCACATACATATAATCATTTCTGAAAAACAACTATATGTTCTTAACAAGGTGAATAATTTCTTATTTAACCAGTTACAACTATTTGGTTAACTTCTTTTATATATTTAAAATAAAAAAAACCTATACAATGTTCTCAATAATAAAATGAAAAAATAAAAATTTAAATCTCAAATAAATTAATACAATCTTTATATTATTGTACATGATATAACTTGATATAAAGAAAAAACATTTGTTTTTTATTAAGGTTTTTTTTTGCCACTTTAATGCTGAGCTTTTATATATCTTTATAAAATAAATTTATTTTTATTAAATTATAATTTGTTAATGTTAATCATTAAAATATTGCAAAAGAAAAACTTTTTACGTTATGACGCAATATTTTATGACGTTAAATTAATTAAACGCTACGTAACTTTTTACATCTTAATTATTATATTTTTATGCATAATTATATTTATTAAATTTGTTTATTGTTAGATTTTGTAATTCAAATGTATTATATAAGATTTTACAATAACAGAAATGTTTATTCACAAACATGATTTTTTGTAAAAACATTTTTGAACATAAATACGTCTAAGAATATAATGAATAAAAACATTTTCAAGTATTTTTAATATTTAAGAGATTGAAAAAATACTAATAACTCATTGTCGTATTCAACAATGTCTTTATTTATCTCTTTTTCGTATGTTTGGTTTGTTTCTTTTTCATTACTGTTTTTATATTGGTTATCAAAATGTAGTTGTACTTGGTTTGGATGGTAATGAAGCGTAGTACTCTCTTCACAAATTTCTTTATCACTTTCAATATTGAATTTATTACTCTTGTTAAAATCTACTAATGGATCTTCATTGAGAGGTAACATATTTTCAATATTATTGAAACTAACATCAGATGAATAATCATTAACATCATTTGATGAAATGCATTTTGTTGCTGCAACAGTATTTTGTGCAATATACGCGTTTTGAAGGTAACCATAACTTTTCAAATTTGGGTTTTTTGCTATGTCGTTGTTGTTTAAGCTTTTTTTAATAAAATCATTTACATCTAAAAAGTTATTTCTTTGAGCAAAAGCCATTTCTGAATAATTGATTTTATTGTGTTTGTACTTCTTGGTAGAGTAGCAATATTTTGGATGATTTGTCATATGAACCGTTCGAAGGTTCTTTGCTTGCGTTGTAAACGGTAATTTTTCAATTGCACTCATTTGGTTCCATGTGTATCCTAAAAGCTTACTGACTTCTGAATTATGCATGTGAGGATTTTTTTTTAAATAATTTTTTCTTGTAACTTTTGCCCACAATAAGAATGAGCTCATAGGGCGTTTTATTTTTTCCTTAATAGCAGTTTCTTGAGATGAAACATTTTTTCTTTGAGATAAAACATTTTCACACAAATGGGTTATTGGATTAAAACTATAAGACTGTTTTGTAACTTCTTTTTTATTTTTACCAAGTGACATATTTTTCACAACCTTTGAAGTTGATTGCATTTTAATAAATTATGAAAAAAGAAAACCTGGTATTTTTTTATAATAATACAAAAATGTACATGTCAAATCAATTTGTACTTTCATTTATCCTCAAACCACTAATAATTTATTTGTTTTACGTATTTCAACAAAAACTTTTGAGACAAGTATATTCTTTCTAAACTAATATTTATTTTTAATGAATTTAAAAACAACAAAACAAAAACAATAAACAAGGCATAAAAAAAAAAAAGGAAAAAATTTGTTCTAAACACGCCGTTTAGTATTTTTAACAATAAAAAACTTGTGAATCATTATGTTGTTTAAAACACTGTTTAGACTTTGAAAAGCTTTTCAGTGCTTTAACCTTAGTTATTTTATTTACGCAAATTTACAATATATAAATTGATTTAATGATAAACATTTTTGTCATACTTAATGTTGCTAGTAAAAAAAAATAATATATTTTTTTTTAATTAAAGTTTTAAAAATTAAACGCAGCTGTAACTAAAAGAAGTTTTCTTTTTTTTGAGAAATAAGCAAGAAAATTTTCTTAAAAAAAGTCAAGTGTTTACTTAAAAAATAAAAATTTTATGATCTTAAATAAGATATTATATTTTGCTTACATGAAGATAGTTATAATCATAATTTGTTTATTATCAGCATACATTTATTGAGGATGTTAACAAGAAGTGAATCTAAAGGAAGTTATATCAACTCTGGGGTAAACAACTCGTCTCCATTTTTATCTAACATTTTCTAAGTGTAGAAAATTAATCTCAAATAAACAAAAACGTGGTCATTATGAATTACTATTTAGATTGTTGTTTAAAAAAAGCTCAAATTTGACAAACCACAACGTCAAGAATTGACTATTGGACAAACCACAAAACGAGGTTTGATCATTTGACAAACCACAAAACCAATGTTTGATCATTTTACAAAAACATTTACAGTGTTCGTTAAATATTTCGCAATATTACCCTTGTTTGCAAAAAGTCAAACTTTGAGAAATTAATAGAGCAAAACTATTATTTTAATCTTTAAAATAATAGTTTTGCTCTATTAATTTAATATATAAAATAGTATTATCAGCAAACGAGTATTTCCTAAAAAATAAGAGGTATTATTCACATTAATTATGCTTTACAAAAATAATAATCAGTACTGTTTACTACTAAAGAACGAATTTAGTAACAAAAAGTTGTTTCATAGTGTCCATTCTTTTTTAATTGATTTTGCTAAAAGCTTTAAAAAGTAAGGGATCTAGTTCTAAGCAAGTTGAGATAACAGTTACTTTGTTTAAAGTTTCAATTGTCTCGTCAACTTAATTTCGCGTTGACATTGATACTAATTTCATCTTTGGCTGATATCTAGTTGTGATAGGTATTTATAATTGACTTCGTTAACAGAAAATGGTTGATACTCAACAAACTTCAACCATTTTCTGTTAACTAAATCAATTATAAATACCTATCACAACTAGATATCAGCCAAAAATAGCTAATAATTAATAACCTAATAAAATCAACATGTACATTAGCAATAAATTTTCTGAAATCTGATCTTATATTGAGAAGGCCCAATCTACTTTTGTATTTGAAGTTAATTTATTTTAATGACTTTTTCTTAGCCACCTTATGTTTAGTTAATTTGAGCATTATCATGGCTTCAAAAATTTTTCAAAAATTTTTGAAACATCAGTTTTTGTTTCTACAGTTCTTATTATCTTACAAATAACTAGGGACTGGTATCTAGCTTTCAATAAACTGAGAAAGAAAAAGTTTTTTTATACATAAACTATGTTTTCTTATAAGAGAATAAAGGAAAAAATGAAACATTTTTTTCATAGAAATGATTATTTAAACAAAAGTTTTAATGCAGAATGAAACTTTGTAGTAATTTATGCAATGCAAACTCATTTATATCAAGCTTTAATATTTTAAACTAATTTGATCGAAAAAAGTATTTCATCTGGCGTATCGATTTAGAAATAGTTAGAAACTAATTTTCGTTAAATATTATAGGGTATTTGAATATAATAAATATAGTTAAATATAATCAAAAATTGATTGATTTATATTGTGTTTTTAGATTAATAGACTATTATTTATATTTATGGAGCTTTACAAGTTTTAAATGTAACTTTGAAATTTTTCTAAAAAAGTTAAAATAATATTTTATTTTAAAGATGTTGAAGGTACACGAAGTCATCACTTTTATGGTTTTCTGCTGTTTACTTTGTTATTTTTATATAACAGATTAACGAAATTTTAAAACGAACTACCTATATAAGTAACTTTCTACTTCATTGTTTTTAATGTAGACTAGATTTCTGGGTAAAAAAAAAGTTTGAAACAAGTATTTATAAAACTGATTGTTTATGGTAAAATGTTTTCCCCGCTTGTAGAATGTGTATATTGCATGAGTGTTTTATGGCTAAAACTATAACAATAATCTAAAAACCTACTTATCAATCTCAAAAAAATTGGATTTGAAATAAACGTCACAAATGCAAGAATTTGCACAAAGCCGTGGCTAGGCTACACTAAACCCCCGATTTTCAGGGAGGTTGTCTAAAAGGGTTAGATTGCAAATTTAGGGTCCCTTTTGAAATTTTAAGGAGTTTTTTTTTCCAGTAAAAGGAAAATTTTTAAAAAAATTAGAGCCCTAAAAGCAGATTTTGAGGGGGCATTCTACCCCTCAAAACCTGCTTCTAGGAATATGCAATTTACCGTTTTGCAATATATGTGAAAACAAAAATTGAAAATAGCTTTATAGATTCAGTTAAATTGAAAATAGCTTTATAGCTTCAGTTGAATTGCAATTTTTGTAGATGACAAGTTACAAAAGCTTTTTATTCGAAAAAAAAGTTAACGTTTATTTAATGCCATGTATAAGGTTTTCCCTAATGCACATCATCACAATATTTTGCAATGAGAATAGAAATTTATACTTTAAAAAATGAATTACTTTTTGCAACATTGTTTCCCAACTACTGTTAGTTCTGGAGAAACCGGAGTCAAAGAGACAATTATTTTGGCTTTAATTGGCATTTTTCGTCATATTCAAATTACTATACACAAGCAATCTTAAACAAATTCGCTCACTTAAGTATCAAAACGAGCTCTCTAGAAAAAATATGAAAATCACGAAAATTTAGAAACATAAAGCTTTTAATTAAATAAAAGATGATAAAGTGGTGTAATCTCTTTCTTTGGTGCAACCTTTTACTTTGGTGCAATCTCTTTCTTAGGTGCAATCTTATTCTCTGGTGCAATTTTTTTCTTTGGTGCAATCTCTTTCTTAGGTGCAATCTCTTTTTTGGTGTAATTTCTTTCTTTGATGCAATCTCTTTTGTTGGTGCAATCTCTTTCTTAGGTGCAAAATCTACAGTAAATTAAAAAAGTTTGATATACTTTTAAATATTTTTCTTCATTAAAAATTGTTACATACAATGAAGAAAACAGACAAACTTATTTTTAAAAAGATTTCTTTATATTTGTTTTATTAATTTAAATAATCAATGCTCTTTTATTTAATAAAATTGAGCGCACAGAAAACTCTAACGCACAAGTGTATTTGTATTTGAGTGCCCGCGTATAAGCTATTTTTTTTGTAAAATATCAAAAACTTTGTAACGCTTCTCAAAAAATTTGTGGTTACTTTTCTTTTCTATAAGGTGTTTGTAAAATATTTTTGGTATGAATCCTAACAATAGATTGTCAATGGAGATTGACTATTGTTTAAGTAACGTGCAAACTCTGATAATTTGCATTTGTAAAGCTCATCGTTTGTTCTATATTGTATTTACTCATTATTAATTATAAAAAATTACAAATACAATTACTTTTTAAAAAATGACTAATTTAATAACATTTATCACGACAAATTTACAAAAAAGGCAATAAACTTTTGTGTGCAAATTATGACAACTTATTTAGAGTTATACTGGTTTTTGCTGAAATTAAGTGTTATCAAAAAATGAAATTTCAGAAAAAAAAAATTTAATAAAATGATATGACCATTATTTAAAAATTTATTAAAAAATGATATGACCTATCATTATTTGAAAATTGCATATATTTGTCTTGGCTATTACTGAGAGATGATTTTTTTCAGTGAGATTTTTTTCCCAAGGTATAAGCATTAGGTTTAAAATGTCCATATAAATTAGTCGGATTATTCCTAAAGCATAAATGTATAATATTGTTATAACAGTAATCAAAATTGATGTGACACGAAGTCTCATCAAAATGTTCTGAATATTTCAGAAAATAATTATGATTTTATGCAAAAACTGTTTCATATTTCTGTAACGGAAAGTTTAATCCAAGCAATTGTTTCTTATCAAATACAATTCTTAAAACATCAAATTTTTTAAAAAATTAACTTTTTAAGGAACAGTCATGTTTTAAATGTTCAAATCTCTTTATGTTTATTAAAAGCTTATTAAAAGCATTCAGGGTCGTCCCAAAGAGATTTTTAATGAAGGCTGGCTTATCTGTTTAATGACTTATCTATTTAATGAAGGGTGACTTATCTGTTTTTTTCCCGACTAAGATCTAATTAAAAAAAGGCCTTTGTTGCCTAACATATGCCGCCTGCCAACTATAGATCTAGTTTTGCCGACTCCAGTTTCAATTTGCCGACTAATAAATTTCGTGGGGGGCTCGACATCAACTACTCTTTACGCTCTTATTCTTTACACGCTCCTTTGCATATGCTCTATTATCCTTTGCACATGTTCTATTTTCATGTGATTTGTTTGTTTTAGGTTAATTGAAAAGAAAAAGAAAAAGAAAAATTAGCTTTTTAGGTATAGTTTGATACTAACACCGTTTGTTCCTTGATTTCTGTAACAAGTATTAGAGGGTATAAAAATACTTTCACGATAGTATTAATAAAGTCGATAGTACTAATAGTATCTTTACTATTGCCTTAGTTTTGTTATTGTCACGATAGTATCGATAGTATAACTATTGTTACCATAGTATCGATAGTATAACTATTTTCACGATAGTATCGATATATATATATATATATATATATATATATATATATATATATATATATATATATATATATATATATATATATATATATATATATATAAGATTTCGGTTTTAATGAGAATATTTTTAAAACAGCAACAATTACTATAAGAGAATGTAGGAGTTATATTTGAATAATTGACATCTTGTATTTTAGTTATTAACATACCAAGTCTTTTTTGTAATAATTATTTTGTAGTTTTTTTTACCCTACTTTTTTTAATAAAAATACTATGTTTGTAAAATTCTTGACATATATTTGTTTCATTTGTTTTGTAGTTGACAATTACTTTTTGCGGAAAATATTTTTTGGAAAAAAAAGTGCTTCTTTTTTTTTTATTCCGGATGCTTAACTTACAAACATTTAAAACATTTGCAAAAAATTAGAGACTTACATCATTAAAAGTAATTTTTAACAATAAAATAAAATTGCAATATTATAAAAGAGAAACAACAAAATAAAAATAGAATTTTCATGAGAGATCAACTAAATTAAGAAAAAGCATACTAGAGATAAAAAGTATTAAACAATTCAACTACTAATTTACTAAATTAGTTGGGTAAACTTTTGCAAATTTTTTTATTTGTGTAAAACTGTCAGCAATTAGCGTCAGCTGTAAGCAGCCGCAGAGGTTAGAATTCTGACAAACAAGCTACATTTGTAACGAAAAAAGCGTGAACATTCAGGTTAAATGCTTATGTAATATATGTTCTTGGAGAAAATTAATAATTTTTTTTCGTTGTTGTTTTGAGGTTATGTTGTGTTTTTTGAAACATAATGTTCGGCATTAAAGATCGATAAAGTCTGTGGTATATAATACATTAGAGTTATTTGAAAAAAAAAACTGTAAAATAGAAAATTTGGCAAAAAGGGAATAGATCTGAGAATTGAAATATTGGTTTTTTTATCAAGCATAAATACTGACTTTGGCAAACATTTAAATCTTCAGGCAAACCGTCTGGTTTTGATAAAAAATTATTTTTAATAATAGGTCAAAATATAAAACAGTAAAGCTAAAATGAAAGGTTATTACAATTACGATGAATGTTAACTACATGCACGCTAAATCGATAACTATATTTACGCTAAATCGATAATTACATTCATGCTAAATCGATAACTGCATTCACGCTAAATTGATAACTACATTCACACTAAATTTAACTACACTTTTACTATATTTTAGGTTATTAAAAGCTTTTACCATCTTGCTTAGATTCATGTTAAATACATTAATAGCATTACTAATGGATTCTAAAGAGGTTTTAACTTGATGGAATTTCATCTTTCAAATGTAGCCCAATTTTAAGAAAGAATGTATTGATACTTTCAGCTTTTTTTATTGTTGTAAATCATTTTCCAAACAGTTAAAAGCTTTTATAGGAAATATTCTTTTGCACGTTATTTTAAATTTTAATTGTTTAATTTTGCACAATTAGGTTTTTGGAATATTTGGTTTTTTTTAAAGCACCTTGTTTATTGTTTTTGTTGTTTATATTCTTAGATTACGTTCTCGTACTTTTACATTACGTTCTCGTACTTATATATTTTACATTACGTTCTCGTACTTTCTTTTTTCTTTTTCTTTTATTAAGATTCGCTCACAACAAGGCTGCAAGCAACCACTATCAAGTTGGGAGTTACTAGAAAATAAATAGTTAAAGAGCATGGAAATGGTTGAAAGAGGGTTTGAAATGTTGTATGTTGAATGAGTCAGGAAAACATGAAGATGAGAAAGAGTTTCAAAGAATTAAAATGCAGGGGAAAAAACTGAAAAAATAAAAGTTTTTAGAGCATGCAGAGACAGATAAAAGTATAAGACTTTGCTGAACAAAGAATTAAGCAAGAATGAGTTTTAGTTGATGGAACTAGAACTGATAGCTCCTTTGAGCAGCGACCATGGTAGTATATGTTGAAAACGCAACCTTATAACAAGGGGAGAGAAGCTCACGCTTGACAGATAGAACAGGTCTAACTACGTTTAAATGGCGTTTTTTTAAACTTGTTTAGAAAAGAGTTAGCATCATTAGAAGAATTAGCCCAAATATGACTACAATATTCCAATAATTCTTATATGATTTATATTTTTAATACTTTTTATAAGCCTTTTTTTAATGATTTAAGTATACCCAAAGGTCATCTAGAGGCTTTATGACTATTTTATATAAAAAATGAATAACAGGCACATACGTTTTGTAATATAAGATTACAAAACGTATAATAAGATTCCAATTAACATTTTCTGATAAAATACTATAGAGATTTTTATTTGATCATTCGTATTTAAGATTGTAACTTTTAGAGGCAATCATTTAGAGATATGTTAACAATAAATAAGATTATTAGCAAGTTATTTAGGATCATGGTTAAAAGCATATTATGGTTAAAGCAAATAAAATTTTTGAAAAATAAAATGTTAAATCCGTTTAGAATTTGTCCACTTCTAAATGAAAGTAAGGAAAATTGTTAGTCATTTGATTTTCAAGTATTATTAAAAAGATTTTACTTATTTTTATTGACTTATATATTGTTGGAATTAGGCTTTTTGGATAAATGTATCTAAAAGCATTACACTTTTTTTTTTAATTTTTTATTTGAAGCTTAATTCAACTAGCTAAAGTTAAAACAACCAGCTAATTAAGAATGAATTCGTAATTTAAACTTTTATATTTATTAACTGTAAAAAGTAACAATAAAACAATACCGCAAAATTGTTTATTCAAATAAAATGTTTGTGTTAATATAAAACAACATTGCTATGTTGCTTTATAGCTGCCTTATACTGTTTATGACATTAAAAACGTAAAATAAAATGTTTTATTGTCAGTATGAACAGGTATAAGTAAACACATGTTAAACATGTTTGATTAAAAAAATAGTTTAGATAGTTTAATGCTTTTTTTAAATATCAGCTTGTTGTCTATAAAAAACGTCTGCTACATTAGTTTCATTGGGATTTTTAAATTATTTTAATGCATAACCATTCTTAGTCTGTTTTATTTTCTCCGAGGTTGTTGCCTTAAATTTGTTTATTTGTGGACAAAAATACTAACTACCACTTAAAACGCTGAACTGATACGTTATTATTAAGATAAACTAATACGTTATTATTAAGTTTAACTTATTGATGAATTGATACGTTATTATTAAGTTTAATTTTTTTTTTTTCTATAAGAATTTATTTATCAATATTAAGTTGAAGCAACAATAATTTAAGATTTTTTGCCATTCTTATTTTAAATCTGTTGTTTAATAACTTGCAAGATCAATTCTACATTTAATTTACTTTCTTAATTTACTTCCTTTTTTTTTAACTTAATATGAGTTAAAAATCGATACTAAATTCTTGTTAAAAATCACAAAGTAATCTTAAAGATAATAAATTTACATATATATTAAAAAATAGCAATGGTTTTACTTAATTAAATTTTTCTTACATACATCATAATTAAACGCAATCCAAAGTAAAAACTATGTTTTACAAATCTTTTATTAACTTGTTTTCTTTTCAGTTTGTTTCTTTATTATTGATTGTAAAACTCGATGGTTTACTTCGGAAATTTAAAATATAAACGCAGATCTTTTTCTTATTGTTAAAAAATAATATAAATGATTTTAATAAAAATTATTAAAAAAACTTTTTTATCAGAATAAATATCAGTTTCTCTGTTTTTTTGGTCACCACATAAACAAAAACAAACAAATAAACAAAGTAGAATCAACTCACTTTGTTGACAAGAATAAATTGTTGACGTTTTATTTTTTTGACTTTAAATTTTGTAAGACAACATAGCTTTACCGTACTCATTAAAATTTTGCATTACAATAACTTAAACAAATGCATCTTGGACTATTTAAAAAAACATATAGCAATATTTCAATGTTTCATTTGTTGAAATATCATTCATAGTATTAATTGCTATTAAAAAATCATTAATAGCATTAACATAAATAAGATTTTTAAGTTCATATCTTTAAAACAACCAGCAAACGCATTTTTTTAAGGCTAAGAAATGAAAAATTATAACAAACAACTTATAATATATACAAAAGTATAAACTTGAAAGCAATAAAGGTCATAATTGTGAACTACACAGAAAAGTTTTAATAACTTTCCGAGCAATCAAATGATGAACGCCAAAAAAATTTTCAGTAACTTTCTGAGCATTCGAATTAAACAATGAACACCAAAAAATTGTCTTCTTAAATAATCGTTTACGTTTATACCCAAGTTATTGCTATTTCTTTAAAACGCGTAATATTCTAAATCGTAAGAGTTCTTCCAAACCGGCTGCTGCACTAAAAAAATCAGTTCAACTACAGTCAGAAAAGTTTAAGTACTCATAAAGTGTTATTAAAGTAACTATATCTATAGTTTCACTTGATTAAAGTACATGCGCACTTTAATCAAGTGAAACTATAGACATGTCTAATATTGAAATATGAATCATAACCACTTGCGTTCTAATATATAGATTCAAATATGACATCAAATATAAATAGCGTTGATATAAACGTAAAACAACAACTGCACAATAAAACAATTACTATTCACTTTTATTTTAACAACACTGCGGTAATAATTCGTGTATTATTAACGATAAAGTGGAAACAAAAAATGATTACCTAACCTTGAAATGATAGACATCTTTGTTATTAGTTTATATCTTTATTTAGCAATATATATCAGCAATATATATATATATATATATATATATATATATATATATATATATATATATATATATATATATATATATATATATATATATATATATATATATATATATATATATATATATATATATATATATATATACATAAATATATATATATATATATATATATATATATATATATATATATATATATATATATATTGTAAAAACTTATAAACAATAATAAACATTAATTATCTATTAAAATTTTAACTAAATATTGTTTTATCAGCAATACCCAGCTAGCACATTACGTTTGACCAATGTTAAAATAACTTCGGAAGCGTTGGGCTCTTGTTTCTTTAACCTAAGATATTGTTGGCACAACACTATCTTACGTTGATTTATGCTTTATAAAATGTAAATATAAACAACGCTGAATAGTTACCAAAATTAGACACTATTTAGACTTCTGATGCCATTTATGATCAAATAAAAAAGCTTATACTTATTTTAAAATCAAACTTTTTTTTTGAAACATTTTAAGAACTTGTCAAAACTGAAAACCCTACCAGTAGTGAACCATAAAATTGCTAAATACCAAAAACAAACGTAAAGGTAAAAAAAAAAGGAAGAAATAAGTAAATAAATGTGTTATGTTACTCCAATAGGGAAAAAATTTATGAAATAATTAAGTAATCAAAAAGTCAAAAACATGTTTTTGATTGCTCTTCAAGAACATTAAACAAAAAATAGAAATACGATCAAAAATATAGAAAAAATTACTACAAACAAAAAGAACAAAAAAGAAGTTTGATCAAAGAAACTGTTATTAAAAAAAGGTTATTAAAAGACAAAGGAAAGAAAAGAAAGTGGAAATATAAAAATAATTACTGGTTGACTCGGCAAAATAGAAAATGAATTAAATATTAACAAAGTAAATATGCGAAATATTGAAAAGAAATATTCAAGAAGAATAAATAAAGAAATAACACTAAGACAAAAAATATAGTGATTTTATATTTTCTTTCGTCGTAACAACATATGAGTTGATGGTCTGAAAGAATCGCTAAAAGATGGTTGGAGTTTTTGAGTATTGTGAGAAATCTGTGGAAAAAAATATTCACAACCCAAAAATTTTAAGTGAAGTTATTGTGGAATGAGCGCATCGAACTGGGTCGTATAAAGAAGACAAAACACCAAGAACTATCGATATGAAACTACTAAACTACCAAGATAAAAATAAAAAAAATAAAAAAAAAAAGGTTACTGAAAATTATCAAAAAATTATATTAAAAATATTTTTAAAAAGTAGAACATAAACGAAAGCTTTTGCTAAAGAGACAATAAAAAAGAAAAAGAAATATAAAAAAGGTATATAAAATAAAACGTAATATAAAAAATATTTCAAATCATCTAAAACAAACTTATTTAAGAAATAACAAAGAGCACATGTTACTTTGTAAAGGAGACTTAAATATAAACTGTCTACAGTACAATAAAGATGCAATTACAAAAAAATGTTTTTGATGATATGTTTAAACACTACATCTTCCCTACAAGAAACAGACCCATCCGGGTATCATCAACCTCAATGACAGCAATAGAAAACGTTCTGACTAATTCATTTTTATGAGCAGGAATATTCAAGACGTATGTTTCCTATCACTTTCTGGTACACTTTTCCTTTTTTTAAGGTACAAAAACTAACAACTGTATAATCAAAGTCTATAAACGAAAAGTTTTTAACAGTCTAAAAACATTATTGTCGGTGAGGTGAAATAAAATTTACCAAGAATAAAAAAATGTTGTTTTTAAATTAGTTAGTTGTTGTATAATTATATAGTGATAATAATAAAATAACAAATAATAGTAGTTGCCTTATACAAGTTTTCAAGGATAAACAATATAATTAATGTAACTGAAAGATGATCACAAAAATCTTATCACAAGAACCTTAAATAATCCGTTTTCAAAAATGTAGTAATAAACTTCTTTCAATGACAAAATAAACTAATAAACTTCTTACAATGATGAAAGAGAATAAACTTTATAAAGTAAAAAGACTAAAAATATAGACAAGTAAACTGACTTAATATAAACAGTAAATTAAATTAATGCTTAGTAATTATAGAAAGTTAACAACTTCAAGATGTTGCTATTAATAGTACATAAGTACGTTGTCCATGCAAACAATAAAATTTTTAAGTTTAGCTTAAAAAACAGGGAAAGAAGAAAATAAATCAAAATTTAGCAAAACAACCAAATTCCAAAGAAATGGTACACGATAATCAATAGGAAAATGATTAAATTTGATTCCACAAAAAAAAATTTGTTTAGCAAATCATTATTTCTTAGGATATATTTATTAACAGCTTTTAAAGAAAAGCTCTCAACGAGTACACTATTTCAGCTAATGATCGGAAAAATGAAATTTCCTAGTATTACTACATTTGCATATACTTTAACGTCTACTTTAATTTTCTATCAAGTACCACTTGTCTATTTATGTCAATTTGTTAGTTTAGTCTATATATAAATTCAATGAGGTATTTGATATTATATGAAAAAAAACTTGTTAAAATTAAAGTACTCCCAAAAATACATTTTTTAAATTTAAACTTCTAATAAAAATTTACAAAATTATCAAAATAATTAGCTTCATTGTGTTAAAAAAAATTACAAATATCTGTTGAGTAGTTTTCGAATAGTTAACAATTAAAGGGTCCTGAATTAAATGTGTTTCTAACTAATCCTTATTGCATTAACAGAGGCATAAAGAATTTTGCTTAATTTGCAGCTATAGAAAAGATTCACCAAAATAAAAACATTTTTTTTATGCTAAAAACAACTTAGCGTTAAACCAAATATCCATAGCAGGGTGTTGCAACTTCTTGGTTTGATTTATTAAAGTAAAATTGGTACAATACTAAAAACAAATAACATTTATTAGTTTTAAATTTTATTTTTTTTAATGCTAAAGCTAAACAGTTTTGATAATCATCAAAACAAAGTCCTCAACATCAAATTAAAACACATTTCTTATCTTAACAAAAGGTCATTTATCAAAAGGTGTATGAGTAGCAGTTAACTACCCGAGGCAGCATATATTACATAAAGCATATATTACATACAGTATATTTTATATAAAACATATATAACATACTGCAGCATATTTACCTCAAAAACATGTAAAATTAAAGAAAGCTTTGTTAACATACATACAACTAAACATACTAAGTGGTTACTTTTTCAAAAAACATACTGAGTGGTTTTGTTTTTCAAAAAACTGAATACAAAACAATAAAAGAAACTAATTTTAAAAATTTAAGAAGTATGATTGTAACTTTTTTTAATCCTTTGGTTTTTGCATTTAATCTGTCAGTTTTTTGCTTTTTAATCTGCAGGTTTTTCTTTATCATAACAAATAGTTTTAAATTTGTTGCTTTACTTAATTAAATTTTATTTTTTATTTACCTTACTTACAATTTAAGCCTATTTACCTTCCTTATATAAAATTTAAGCCTATTTTCTTATCGATTGTTTAAAACTCTAAAATGAAAAACGCAAAAAACTAACTCATCAAAGAAAGTATAGAAGTGAATCTTCGATACGACAAACAGTGACTCAGGACAATCAAAAAACGGCAAAAATTAAATAAAAATTGACATAAATCGTAAATAAATAATGTTATATATTAAAATAATAATTTTTAAGTCAAAGATTTCAAATTTGTTAATAATTTTTTTTTTAACGCGCAGCTTCGACGCGTAAATGCACGCTTACACGTGTTAAAGGTGACTTTACGCGTACAAATTTTTTTTTTTAGTTTTTAGAATCTTCAAGACAAACACATAATTTTGATATATTACTCTACTTGATATTTTTATAAAAATAGTTTTTAAAGGATGTTGATACATAGAGAAAAAATAATGTATTTTTTTACATTAAATTTATTATTTACATTACAATTAATTTAAAAACATTATCTGGTAACGGTTTTCAATGATAGCTCTTATGTTTTCTAAAAGATATGCTTGATATTTTTGGATCTGATCTTACTAGAAGGTAGTGCATCTGATTCATCATTGTGTTTAACCTTGATATTTTTTGCCGTGTGCTTAAGTATAGAATTTCTTATCTGTTTATTTAAACTCTCTAGTGCATCTTCCGAATATATCCCGATTGGCAAAGGTAATTTATTTGATATAGAAGAACTATGCAGTAGCAGTTTATGTACAGTAGGAGGCATAACATACCAGTTGTATAAACTCACTATACGTTTAGCTGTTTCAGTGCAATATAAATCTAATTGATTGATATTAATAGGATATCAACAAGATATGGTTATAAGAATATTATGCAATCTTTTAATTATATCACAATCAACTTTAGTAATTTCAGAAAAAACTTCACTATTTTTAAATGCTCTTCTGGCAGTGTTGCCGTCATTCGTGTTTCCAGACCCAGTTTTAGGCATATTAACGTATAGGCTTAACCGTTCTCTGAAGAGTCCCTGAATCTCTTTTTTTTTTAAGTCTACAGATAGTTTTTCCTCAATTGTTTTTGGCTTATACTTTTTAATTTCAATTTTATAACTTGTATTTGTACACTTTGCAGAAATTTCAGAAAAGTGTATAT